ATTCCAGCTCCGCTCTGCTCCGACTTCTGTAGCAAATACAAACCCCTTATAATGGCCAGTGTAAATACTCTCATTGATTATAATCAATGAGAGTATTTACACTTGCTCTGAATGGTGGCGGTGAGTGGCGCTGAGTGGTCGGCGCTCCGGCAAAATTAGATCCTATCCTATTTCTGCTGGATGCCGGAGCTGCACCGGAGTCAATTTTTAAGATTACATCGCACCAACAGGAAGAGGAACAAGCATAAAATCCACATTTTCAAAATAAGACCCTATTAGGTGGAATAATTTGGCAGAATAATGTCGAACTCCCAGCTATATTAATTAATATATGGATATATTTCTACACAAATGCTGTCAGAATGTATCGTTCTGTTTGGGAAGTAGAGACAAACATGTAGCATACAATGTGTACATGATACTTGTGGATTTTATTTTGAAATCAGAAGTTTCAAAAAAACGACAGTGATATAGTTTCAACCATAGATATCAAAAGCTTTTATATCAAATGTTTTCAGCTGTCTTTGGAGTTCGTCTTTCACAGAATTAATTATTTTTTGCTCTGACTTCCACATTTATTACTGGATTATGCAATCTCCTTCCTCCACACGCTCCCTCCTCTGTGTGTCGCACCGGAGCGGACCTGAGTGGAGCGGCGGCTGTTTAAATTGGGGCACAAACGAACAGCGGAGCGGAGACGCATGTAGTGTAAATCCGGGGTAGGCTGCTAGCTAACAGCTGGATTCGAGTGACGGGATGAGCTGAATTTGGCCAGAGAAAACGTTCAATGATGGACTTAACAGCTGCTCCAATCAGAGATGTAAAAGACCAACACTGGATCCTATCCCTGTACTTTCTCTTGATAAACAGGTGCAGTAAACTTGATTGTTTTATGAGCTCTGTCAGTCAGTCATGTTGTTTGGCAGCCTGGCCTGGTAATATTTCTCTATACTCATGCATCTACAATCCCAATTAAAAAAATGGGACACAGTTTAAAATGTGAACAAAAAGACAATCTAATGATTTGCATATCTTCCAAACTCATTTATTCACAGTATTACACAGGAAATAGTAAATAAACAATAAACTGAAACATAAGAAACTGAACTGGCCTGTCAGACCTCTCACCAACTTAAAATATTTGGTACATCATGAAATAAAAAAACAAGAACAATGGATCTAGAATTGTTGAAAAGCTAAAACTCCTCAGACAAGAATGGAACAACATTCCCCAACAAAACCTCCTGGAGCTGATCTCCTTAGTGCCTGGATGTTTACACAATGTTGTTGAAAAAATTTTAGTGAACAACAATGGATTGGCAAGACGTAAACTGGTGCTGTCATCTCTGAACCACAACATAACGCTCTGCATCTCCACTGGGTGTGTCTCACATCTCCACCCACAATCAAGCTATTAACAATAAATTGGTCCAATAAGTGTAATTCAGAAGTGAAGAACCCATCTGCCTGTTTCAAAGTAGGAAAAAAATCAGAGTCTTTACTCAATTAAAGTAGAATATTATCTGATCTGCTTTTCAGAAATGGAGCCTGGCTGTCAGATTTACAAAGTATGAGTTTGGTTGTGAAACATCTGCCTTCACAACATAATGGTAATAAGGTCATTTATCAGCACAGACAGAATGCAGATAATGCACAGACTGTTTGCAGCTTGGGAGGTGAACTAATTAGAGGATGAGTTATAGCTGTGCAGAGCAAAGTAACAGTAAAAATAAAACTGTCATGCTTTCACTGTACTTTTATTAGGAAATTTATATGAGGGTTATAAAGTACATTTTAGATATGGATTTTAAACATTGCAATCAAAGAGTAATAGGATTATTCAAAACTTTTTTTATTTAGTCATACTTTAGCTATAGTTATACTTTGCTTCTGGAAAGTCTGATCCTGTTTTTCATCCTGCTGTTTTAATACACTGACAGGCATTGTCTTTTTTATTTGTTACCTTAAATATCTATAACATTTGAATTTTCAAACACCCACAACTGACACAACAGGAAAGTTCAATGATCTCATTATTTACTGGCAGTGAAATGACAAAATAGAGCAGGCCAGGCCAACCAGTAGATCGGGATCTACCGGTAGATCTTTAGCTGGTTAGCAGTAGCTCATGGAGCAATGGATCACGGAGCTTGTAGAACGCAACATTGTTTAACATTGCAGTCTTCAATGCACTCTTTGCAATGTTTGTTTAACATTGTATTCTTGAACACGCTCCAGTCTCGCTAGTTTTGCGTGCTGTGAAACAGCACTTCGAACATGGTCTTGAAAGATTAGGGTCATGTGTTAAAACATGGCAGCGAGGCAGAAAAAATGATGAACGAAAGACAGCTAACAAGCAAATAAAAACTTATTATTTTCATCTGGAGTGGGAAGAGGACTCAAATGTGATTCGAGCGCTGCCTTGACTTGTCCAAAAAGGATATTGTGAAACAGCATTTCTTTCAAAAGAATGYACAGAAGCTACGAGGCGGATTTCCCCTCCTAAGGTAAGGCTGCTACGCTAATGCAGCCCTGTACCTGCCTTAATACACATCTTTCAGCGATGACTAAGTTATGAAAGAAGCGTTTGATGATGCTGCAGACGTGCTTTTCCATGATTTTAAAAATAAAAGTGAGATGTGCAGTTGTCCACCTGATGGATGGATGTGTCCAAATTCGTGTCCGTATTTCAGTCTGGACTGCTCTGAGTTGAAAATTAGGTTTTGACTCTGCAAAATGACATTGGGATCAAATCCAGAGCAACAAGTC